GCATGTGAGCGAGGAGACCGAGATGACGACGAAGCGACGTAAGCGGCATACGCCGGAGCAGATTGTTCGTAAGTTGCGAGACGCGGACGCGATGCTCAATGCTGGGAAGGACCAGGCTGCTGTATTGCAGGCCCTGGAAGTGAGCGAAGCCACGTATCTGCGTTGGCGAAACCAGTACGGTGGGATGAAGGCCGAGGAGGCGAAGCGGCTGAAGCAACTGGAAGACGAGAACAGGCGGCTGAAGGAGTTAGTGGCCGAGAAAGAACTCGACATCAAGATGCTGAAGCATATCGCGGAGGGAAACTGGTGAGCCCTTCCCGGAAACGAGCGGCGGTCGGCGAGCTGCGCGAGGTGTTCGCAGTTTCCGAGCGAAGGGCGTGTCAGGTGACTGATCAGCCACGCAGCTCTCAGCGTTACCAGCCGCAGTCTCGTGATGACGAAGCGGCTTTGGTGAAGCGGATGCGTGAACTGGCCGCCGCTCGACCGCGTTTCGGTTATCGTCGGATTGCCGTGCTATTGCGTCGCGAAGACTGGGAGGCCAGCAACACGCGGGTGCTGCGGCTATGGCGTCGCGAAGGGCTGAAAGTGCCACAGAAACGCCGTAAGAAACGCTACTTGGGCGACAGCAGCCAAGCCTGTCACATTCAGCGAGCCGAACATAAAGACCACGTGTGGTGTTGGGACTTTGTGTTCGATCGCACGGAGGCCGGCAGCCCGTTGAAGTGGCTATCGATCGTCGACGAGTACACGCGGGAGTGTTTGGCTTTGAAAGTCGACCGCAGCATCACCAGCGAAGATGTGATCGACTCGTTGGCCGAGCTGTTCGCGATGCGGGGCGTGCCCGGTGCGATTCGCTCGGACAACGGCCCGGAGTTTGTAGCTGGTGCAATCCGGCGATGGCTAAAGCAAGTCGATGTCGAAACGCACTACGTCGCGCCGGGCAGTCCATGGGAGAATGGTTACGCGGAGAGCTTTCACAGTCGGCTTCGCGATGAGTTCTTGGAGATGGAAATGTTCGAGAGTTTGGCCGCGGCACGGAAGCTGACCACGGCCTGGAGAAAGGATTACAACGACGTGAGGCCGCACAGTTCGCTGGGGTATGCCACCCCGTCCGAATTCGCGACCCGCTGTGCTGCTTCCGTTCCGAAGTCGATTTCGGCTACGCCTCAATCAACTTCTCCACTCCAGCAGCACAGCGAAATACCCCAACCCACACCTTCATAGCAAGTGGTACAGAAATTTAAGGCTGGTCAGGAAGTCGAGTTACTAGGGACACACAAGAATACTCAACAACTCCACTATGCTTGCCTGTCGATAGATGGTACCGGGCTCTCTTCCTATGGCAATTGCATGATAGAATTAGCTAGCGACATGGTTGGTCACCGAGCATCATGCTTTGACGGCAATTCCGCGATCGTCTACCACAACTCCGGGCACTTCTCTCAAAATCTACGCTCTGATTGGTCCACACGTCATCAACTTGCGGCGGCATTCTGTGCACAACTCATTACTACCGCTACAGCTCCTGCCAACTTCCCCGGTCTTTTAGTCCAGAGCGGCAGCAGTGCCATTGACGATCGCTTTATCGAGGTACACATTTTTGGCCCAATAACTGCTCGTACAATGAATAAGGTTCGCATTTCCACTGCAAATCTAAACCGCACTGAGAATGTTCTGCTTGCCGTGTTACAGGAAAAGTTAGAGAACAACGCCGTCGAGGTTCTAGTCTAATGAAAGATTCCCCTCACATCGCGTTCCTCTCCCCACGGGACGGGTTAGCTTGCATCTTGACCGATGACAGGAGGCAAGTGTGAGTGCTTGCACCCAGCGAGCTGCGGGGCAAGCTGTTTCCTTTGGACTATTATATTTCTCATTATCCAGATTCTACCACGATCCAGGTAGAAGATCCGATCGAAGTACCGGAACGCCTTCGCTCTCTTCAAGGGTCTTCTCTTGCTCTGGATTTTTCATTGATTCTACTCGATAGCACCGTACGAGAAGCTACTTGCCGAAAGGTTGCACTCGAACTCAACGATCTACTGGAAGATGAATCGCATCGAAACTACGTCCTCAGCGTTCTCCTCGCATGCCCCTTACCCGACGATGTTGATTTGCGGCGTATCCGAGAGGCCACATCGAACTACGAACGTGCGGGTGAGTTGTTTGAGACACTTGCCAGTGCCCAGCCCCGCGTCCGCCTCTTGCATGCCGCTTGGCTCTCGCTACGATCCGACCCCCTGACAAAACAAGCCGGTCCAGATTCTGTACTGGGACAGCTACTGAGATTCGGAGTATTCCGCCAACTCGTGACTCGGGGCTCTACGCAATCGGAAGTGGCTGATTTGAAAGGCGAACTTGTCCTAAGTCTCAAGGACTGTATCAATCCTCGAATTCTCTCTGCTTTTATATCAACCTACTCTTCCTCGCTTCCTAAAGGCTCCGAATCACTTTCGCCGAGACGGAACCTCTACACAGTCGATGAGGACTCCCCCGTACTCAAAGTCCGCACGGACAACGACAGGCCCCATAGTCGCAATTACCATTCAACCCAACAGCTGGTACAGGCTCAAACGCAAGTAGAAAAAATTGCCTCCTTATATGGAAAAGGCAATGACAGTACTGCACAGGGTTTTCTTGCTGAACTCATATCCTCACAAACGTCTCATACCCACGACCATTCCCATGTTGTCAAATCGTTGTGCAATATTGCGACGAAGTGTCGTATTCGAGGGCGCCGCGACGCTAGCCTGAGTTGTTTAGAAAAGGCCTTAGAGTTCAAATCTGGCATTGATGCTGTCCTATATCTCCAAATCGGCAACGCACTCCGGGACCTGCGCGAATTTGATCGTGCGATAGATTGTTACAAAATCGCGGAGAAGCTTGCTACTTCCACTGACCGGCTGGAAAAGATCCGCATTGAAATTATTCGTGTAACAGCCGCCAGAGGCGATTATGAGGAGGCAGCCGCCCAATACAGACAACTGCCACACTTGGATATTCAGCCTGAAGGAATATTCGGCTTGGCTACTGTCTGCCGCAAGATGGGAGACCTTCGTCAAGCTAGGACGAGTTACCACAAGGTACTGAACCTCGAAGACACATACCATGCGGCTATTGCTGGTTTAGCTGAGGTTTCCAAACAAACGGGACACCATCATAAGGCGCTCGCCCGTTACAACTTATTAATGCGCCGCTTTCCTGATATGGAGGAAAGTTCAAATAAGGTTTACACTCTCTCCCGCGCCTATCTATTTAGAGTAACACGCCAGCTAACCAAGGCAGCATGTCTCTTGGAAGAGCTGCACGACCAGTACCCCATGGATAGCGACGTACAATTCCAGCTAGCAAAGCAGTATTTACTCCAGGGAGACACGTCTCTCGCGAAAACTCACTTCGATAAAGCACGAAGCAAGTCACTGGACCACATTGCTGAACGGCTGTATCTCGCTGCAATGGGCAAATCCGCGGACACGGCCAGCAGCATTAATGCGGACGTTGACGACTACAGTTCCACTCTTCCCGAGAACCGCGGATTATGGACATGTAGCCACGCAATGAACGCCATTCTGAAAGGCGATTATTTCTCTGCGAAATCCATTCTTGCAGAAGGTCGTTATGTTGATCGCTTGCATGCAGATTTTGGCACTGTCCTCGGTTATCACGCCTTGCTGAAGCTCGATTCACACTTCAATTATAAGGCGCGACCCGAAATCTGCCGTATCGCAAAACGCGGCTATCCCGAATTAAGGCAGACTGTACAAGCTATTACCGATCGCAACTTTGAGAAGGCCGAGCGCATCGAGAGACGGATGTGCCTTATAGTTGCTGAATGACATATGGTTCGGGCTATGTCCAACTAAGTGACTCGCGGTATCATAATGGCGTCTTACAGTACCTGCGTGCATTTGGTGCCTCACGTACCGACGAGCACTATCTACTTTCGCTATTTTTCACTTCGCGACTTTTCTGTGATGACAACTCGCACGATAGCAGTTGGCCATTCCGCCACTTCTTTGCGAAACCTTTCAAACCGTATCCTTTCGCCCCGACTTCTCTTTATGCCGTCAATTGGCACAACTAAGCCGGATCGTGAGTTTTGCGGCTTGTGATTGAGGTGTCCCTAGATGGCTGCTGAGGCCCGGCCAGGTGAACGATACTGGGCAGTCGTTGAGCCTTTTTGGGATTCCATCGATATCCATGCGAGCCCGGCAGAATTCCTCGCACAGTTCAGTGCAGTACCTCGGGCTGCGGGACATCTATTCGCCGCACACTGGTGCCAATCCGAAGTTCGGAACGGGGGCTTTTACCAATTCTTCTACAATTCTACCGGCATCCTAGCCCCGGAAGCATGTGCGGGATTTTCGGCTATCGGAATCGCCGAATGGGCTCAGGTTCTAGCCGAAGCGATGAATTATTTTGGCCCACACTACCCGCGGGAGCGCGAGAAACGAATGGCCATGCTTCCTCGCAGTTCTGGAAAGCGCCGGGAGTGGGACCCGTTCTATGCGCTGGATGAACGCTTTTATTCATGGATGGGCACGGAACCGGATCGGTGGGATCACGTTGCAGATCAATTCGCCGAGACAGCGAAATGATGTTGCAGATTCAAATGCCCGACGACATAGGGCAATCTTAATTCGAGACAGACACGCGTAGTCAGTAGTGGTTACCTCGAAGGCAGATTTGGTTTCTCTTACAAGCTTCAAGCTGAGCACTGGCTGTAGCCCGTGCGGTTGCACTGTCGCTCAGGTCACGCCCTCCTGTGTCGCTTGGGTTGATGCGTCGGCAGATGAAATCGACGCAGAGTTGGAACAACCCTGAAGTGCTGAGAGGATTCGCTACTCATGGGCCTGTAGCTCGTTACCATGTACTTCATGAGTGACCGTTCTTCGTCAAATCGTTTGCTATCTGTGTTGAAACGACGAGTTCGTTTCCGCATCCGCACGCTGCTTGTCTCAATTATCTTGGTATCGCTTTGGTTTGGGTACTTTTTCAATCGCATGCACAACGAACGACGTGCGACCGAAGCGATTTCCGCTGCGTCGGGAACAGTGGTCTACGACTGGCAGATTCGCCCGTCGGGCAGCGACCCGAAAGTGGAACTCAAGCGGCCTGGGCCTGAGTGGTTACATCAGTATCTGGGGCCGCATTGGTTCGGACAGATTGTGGAAGTGAGACTAAAAGGAAGCGCCAACCCCGGTAAGAGAAATGATCTGACGCTAGTTGGTCCCCACCTTGCCAAACTGCCTGCCCTACGTTCGCTCTCGTTGTGGGGTGGGATTCTCGACCTGGAGGATTGCCAGCTAATTGGCCGGTTAACCCAGGTCGAGGAATTGTCTTTGATGCCTGATTCGGTAATCGAGCCACAGCACACTACGGCGATCGCGGGTGCTCGAAACCTCAAGATCTTTCGCCTCAGCCATGCTAAGACGTCCGCCGCAGCAATCAGCAAGTTGGCCGCGATTCCGAACTTGAATGAACTTGATATTGACTGCGATAGTTTCGACCCCCAGACGGGGATGCCGCTGACGGAATACTACCTAAGTGATGAAGACGCTCACGCGATAGCAACGTTTCCGAACTTGCGTTCGGTTATGCTGTCCCATACGCAGATTACTGACGACGGTGTGGAGGCACTTTGCAAACTGTCGCAGCTAGAAACGCTCGCTGTGAGCAGTCTTCATATTACCAGTGCGGCCTTTGAGCACGTCTCTAAATTGCAGCATCTGAAGCATCTCGGCACTTGGAGATGGAGAATCGACGACGCAGATCTTGTACAGCTCAGCCAATTGCCGAATTTGGTCAGCCTTGACCTGCAGACGAGTCTTACGAACGAGAGCGTTTCCCACCTGTTGCAATTCGATGGCCTGGAGGGACTAACCCTGAGAGGGGATGGGGTGACCGAAGACAGCGTTGGACACCTATGTACGATGCGTAAACTCACCTGGCTAGACCTCAGCGGCACCAGCATTTCGAAGAACAGCGAAGCCGCCGCCTTACTTAAGCAATCGCTTCCAATGTGCCGAATCACGTTGCCAAAGACACAAAGAGAAAAGGAATACGAACGGCGATTCAATCGCTGGAAATGGAGCGCTGTTCAGTCACCGAACTAGGACTAGTAGGCAGAAGCGTACATCTTTTGCCACGCTTCGGCGAGAAACGTCGACGGAGCTAAGACGCCAAGGGCGAACCGTCTTGACGCGCCAACTTTCGATCATTAACGGCTCGCCGCCAGGAATTGGGGTGGGCTGCTATCTTTTGGTGGTGGGGACTCGCGGCTTTCAGTGGCCGCTGGGTTTCTTGGGTGATTTGTTTGGAGTCGCCGCTCTTCTGGCTGGTTTGCTGGAACTTGTTGTTGCGGAAGCAGTTGTGGGTTCAAATCGGGGTGCCACTTCGAATTTTTGGCACTGCGGTTGTCACAGTCGCTGGTCGATGGTGTCGAAGGGGATGGGTGGTTTGAGATTTGTCCGGGTGGAGGGATGCGAGCCATGTTTAATCCGTTCAGCGAGATTGCTGGGGAGCATTTGTCGGACGCCGGGCTGGTGGAACGGGCGAAGGGTGGCGACCGGGCCGCGCTGGAAGAGTTGGTTCTGCGGCACCAGGCGTGGGTTTACAACATTGCGGTGCGGATGGTTTTCGACCCGCACGATGCGGAGGAGGTGACGCAGGAGGTGCTGGTCAAAGTCATCACCAAGCTCAGCACGTTCAAAGGCGAAAGCAAGTTCCGCACCTGGCTGTATCGCATTGCCGCCAATCATGTGTTGAACATGAAGCGACGCCCGGCTGAGACTCAGGCTTCTGGGTTTGCCGAGTATGGGGATGCGATTAATAGCATCCCCGACGCTGAGCTGCCCGACCCGAACAGTGTGCCGGTGGCGGTGCCCGTTCTTGTCGAGGAGGCGAAGAACAGTTGCACCATGGGGATGCTGCTGTGCCTCGATCGTAAGCAGCGGCTGATTTTTGCGCTGGGGGAAATTTTGGGCGTGAGCGATACGGTTGGCAGTGAGGTGCTGGAGATGACGGCCGCCAATTTTCGCCAGTCTCTGGCTCGGGCCCGTCGCGACTTGAGCAGCTTCATGAACAACCAATGCGGCCTGGTGAATGCGAGTAATGCTTGCCGTTGCCCCAAGAAGACGCGCGGTTTCATCGAGCATGGGCATGTCGATCCGCAGCGGCTGATGTTTGTTCCTAGCCATCTCCAGCGGGTGAAAGATGCCGCGGGGGAAACGGTGCGGGATATCGAAGATCTGGTCGAACAGCAGCATGCAGATATTTTCCGCGAGCATCCGTTCCTGCAACCGGCGGATGAGATTGACTGGCTGCGAAGCATACTTCAGCGCGAGGACGTGCGCGGAACGCTGCATTTGAACTGAAAAACTTTTTTCTGAGAGTTGTCACAGTTCGTCGTCCCGAGTGTCCATGAGTTAGAGGGAGCAATGGCTTCCCGAATTTAACTCAACTTCGGAGGGACGATCATGACCATCAATTTGCCAAAACCGGTCGCAGCTTATTTCGCCGCAGAAAGCCTCAACGGCGAGGCCGTTTCTCGATGCTTTGCCAAGCGTGCCGTCGTGAAGGACGAGGGCCACACCTACAACGGTCGCGCGGCCATTAAAGCGTGGAAGAAAGAGGCGTCGTCGAAGTACCAGTACACGAGCGAGTTGCTGGGGTGCGAGCACGAGGGCGATCGCGTCGTCGTCACCAGCCGGCTCACCGGAAACTTTCCTGGCAGCCCGGTCGATCTCCGTTACCGCTTCGAACTGGCGGGCGAGCAGATCGCGTCGTTGGAAATTGCTCCCTGAAAAGAGCGTGCCCAGGAAAGGAGGGCTTCGATGTTTGCTGCTTACGCGACGCACGCCGCACCCGACGACCCGTTATCTGCACTGCGCATCGGAGAGATGGCCGAGCCGCAGGTGCCTGATGGTTGGGTCCGCGTGAGGGTGAGCCATGCCAGCCTCAATCGTCATGACCTGTTTACGCTGTGTGGAATCAGTGGGCATCCCGAGGGCATCAAGTACCCGATGATTCTGGGCAACGATGCCGTCGGGACGCTGGACGACGGGACGTCAGTCGTCATCTACCCGATGATGGGCGACGCTGATTGGCACGGTGACGAGACGCTCGACCCGCAGTGGCATATCCCGAGTGAATTCATTCACGGGACGTTCGCGGACTATGCCGTGATCCCGCGGCGGAACGCCATTGCGCTACCCGAGGGGCTTTCACCTTTGCATGCCTCGGTGCTTGGCACCGCCTGGCTGACGGCGTACCGCGCGTTGTTCACGAAGTCGGGATTGAGGGCCGGGGAGACGGTGCTGATTCAAGGTGCCACCGGCGGCATGGCGACTGCCCTCATTCAGTTGGGCAGCGCCACGGGCTTTGAAGTGTGGGCCACAAGCCGTACGGAGGAAGGGCGAGCGAAGGCGCGGTCGCTGGGCGCGCACGCCACGTTTCGGCCCGATGAACCGGTGCCGCGGAAAGTTCAGGCGGTCGTCGACAGCATCGGCGCCGCTTCCTGGGAGCATAGCGTGGCGTCGGTGGCGCGGGGTGGAGTACTGGTGACGGTGGGCGGCACGACCGGGTTTGATGTGTCGCTGAATCTTCTCCCGGTTGTGGCCGACCAGATTACCATCACCGGTTCGATCATGGGCACGCTGAAAGACATGGAGGATATGGTGAGGCTGATCGCCCAGGCCGGCATCGAACCGGAGATTGGCGCTGTTTTACCGATGGAGCGGGCGGCGGAAGGTTTTCGCGAGATGTGTGAGGGCGGTACTTACGGGAAGATCGTGTTTACTCGATGAGTGCGCGGAGGGACTCTATAGGAGGGCAATGACTCAGGTTTCTTGCAGGCTCGTTGACGCCAAGGTCGGGTCGCAATTTCATAGCAAGCGCGATTGGTAACTCGGTTGGCGAACCTTTGCTGAAGGGCCTTGCATTGGTGCCCGCTGGCTTGCTTTTCAGCTTAGCTATTCGGCTGTACTCTTATGGGATGCGACCTCTTCGACATTCCATTAACGTGACTTTGGACGGGTGTTGCGATCATGAGGAAATGATCGCGGACGAAACCTTGCGTCGTGATGCCGTGCAGGAATTGCATCGCCATGCCGTGGAGAATTTCCAGCGGGCTGATGCCCTGCTCTTTGGCCGGGTCACCTACCAAATGATGGAGACAGCGTGGCGACCGTCGACGGAGACGGGGGGGTGGCCGGATTGGATGGAGCCGTGGATGGAACCGTTCGCCCAGACGATCGACGCGGCGAAGAAGTACGTCGTATCGAGCACGCTGGATGAGGTCGACTGGAACGCAGAACTCATCCGCGGCGATTTGGCCACGGCCGTTCGTCAGCTCAAGCAACAGCCGGGCAAGGGGCTGTTCGTAGCCGGGGCAAAGCTCGCGATGGCGTTGACCGAGTTGGGACTGATCGACGAGTACGAGTTCATCTTCCACCCCCGACTAGCCGGCCACGGACCGACGTTGTTCGCCGGGCTATCGAAGCAAGTCGATTTGAAGCTGGTGGGTCGGGTGGAGTTTGGGTCTGGGGCGGTGGCGCTGCGGTATGCGCCGAGGAGGTGAACTAGTATTTTTCCACAAGCCCTAGGATAAGCACTTGCTGAAGGCCAGTGGCACCTGGTGATGTTCGCGGTCAAGGGTTTAAAACAATGGGACCGCGCATGGTTCCGGGGATCTTCTCAGGGTGACTGATAATTTCAGCTAGATTGTCCCGGAGTTTCTTGGAAATCGGACCGACCCTCCCGCTATCCACTGAACTAATCGCGTTCGCTGCCTCATCGGAATATGCGTTGCCACTTTCCAGATGCTCCAGGCAATATCTCGCGGCAACTCCGTCAGGATGAGTGTGCCAAGCTTCTAACAAATCGTTCCATGCAGAAATGCGGGTGTTGAATGCTTGCAAGTCGAGCAGGCCGGACTTGCGGTAGTGATCATCCTCCTGCCACCACCGTTGATGACGCGACACCAACGAGTTTTGGTACATCCGGGGGAGCCAAGCCAAAGTCGCGACGGCAACAACTACAGCCAACAAGACGCAAACGGCAAGTCGGTAGGGTATTCGGCTAACCATATTGAGCGTCCAAGGTGGTTGTATTTGCTCTTATCTCAACAACGCGGTTCATGGCCGGGAAGCCCGACGATTAGACGGCGGTCCCCTCGCCACAGGGCAATTGTGATCAAGTGGGAGGAAGCTGGCAAACCATATTGAGCCTGCAACTCGGACTGCTAACCTTCTCGATGCTCTCTACCCGAACCGAAAGGCCATTTAGCGGTTGGACAGAAGAATCGAGAATGCTAATCGCCTACAGGCTTACTGATCAGTGGTACAAGAGCGATTCCGGCGAAGCCGCCGGGCTTGACGGCCAACGGGAATCGTCCTTAATTCTGGGTAGGATGCATTGGATCAAACCGAGGATATGGCGCTGATTGGCCATCGCGAGAGACGCGGCGCCGCGTCGGACAAGTTCTACTGGTGTTAAGTCGTCCGACCTCTGAAGGTTAGCTGTGCACTCTATTCGCCTTTTCGCAATCATCTCTTTGACCACGCTCGAAAGGCAGCGGTATGATTGGTAACGGGGTGACAACATGCAAATCCAAATACCTTACGATGCTAAACAGCTTTCAGTTGCTGCGGGATTCGCAGACCTTGACCAGTTTGTGAATAGCCTGATTCGCAAGGAACGCGAGCGGTTGGCAATTCAGGCTGGTATTGATGCGATGGATGCCGGCCAGGTTTCGGATTTCGCCGACTTCGATCGTGAATTTCGCGCGAAGAACGGACTGACATCTCGATAGATGGCGCGCATCTAGATCTCTGAATCAGCGAAGGCCGTACCATTGTTTAAGCGCAGGCCACGGGTCGTTGGTGATGGTTACCTGGAAGGCAATGAGCTTCTTCCTCAAAGGAAACACTGGACTGGAGCCAGTGGCACTCGGACGACGTCGTAGGATCGGACTACTGGCAGACATCGCAACCGATATCTCAAATCGCAAATGAAGCTAACCTATCGCACGGAACCGCCAAACTTTGAAATCGTACCAAAGTCGCACCCAGACCTAGACTCGCTTGTCAGTATCTGGAATCTAGTCGCCCCCAGCCTATTCGAAGAAAAATCTTTTATTCAGATTGACTGTAAGTACGTCGTCAGTCTCGGAGCACACTTTACGCATGCAAATGCACTATTCTCCATTGCACACCCAATTGACTATCAGCTAGCGAACAAGATATGTAGTCACCTTGACCAGCCTTAAATTTCTGTACCACTTGCTATGAAGGTGTGGGTTGGGGTATTTCGCTGTGCTGCTGGAGTGGAGAAGTTGATTGAGGCGTAGCCGAAATCGACTTCGGAACGGAAGCAGCACAGCGGGTCGCGAATTCGGACGGGGTGGCATACCCCAGCGAACTGTGCGGCCTCACGTCGTTGTAATCCTTTCTCCAGGCCGTGGTCAGCTTCCGTGCCGCGGCCAAACTCTCGAACATTTCCATCTCCAAGAACTCATCGCGAAGCCGACTGTGAAAGCTCTCCGCGTAACCATTCTCCCATGGACTGCCCGGCGCGACGTAGTGCGTTTCGACATCGACTTGCTTTAGCCATCGCCGGATTGCACCAGCTACAAACTCCGGGCCGTTGTCCGAGCGAATCGCACCGGGCACGCCCCGCATCGCGAACAGCTCGGCCAACGAGTCGATCACATCTTCGCTGGTGATGCTGCGGTCGACTTTCAAAGCCAAACACTCCCGCGTGTACTCGTCGACGATCGATAGCCACTTCAACGGGCTGCCGGCCTCCGTGCGATCGAACACAAAGTCCCAACACCACACGTGGTCTTTATGTTCGGCTCGCTGAATGTGACAGGCTTGGCTGCTGTCGCCCAAGTAGCGTTTCTTACGGCGTTTCTGTGGCACTTTCAGCCCTTCGCGACGCCATAGCCGCAGCACCCGCGTGTTGCTGGCCTCCCAGTCTTCGCGACGCAATAGCACGGCAATCCGACGATAACCGAAACGCGGTCGAGCGGCGGCCAGTTCACGCATCCGCTTCACCAAAGCCGCTTCGTCATCACGAGACTGCGGCTGGTAACGCTGAGAGCTGCGTGGCTGATCAGTCACCTGACACGCCCTTCGCTCGGAAACTGCGAACACCTCGCGCAGCTCGCCGACCGCCGCTCGTTTCCGGGAAGGGCTCACCAGTTTCCCTCCGCGATATGCTTCAGCATCTTGATGTCGAGTTCTTTCTCGGCCACTAACTCCTTCAGCCGCCTGTTCTCGTCTTCCAGTTGCTTCAGCCGCTTCGCCTCCTCGGCCTTCATCCCACCGTACTGGTTTCGCCAACGCAGATACGTGGCTTCGCTCACTTCCAGGGCCTGCAATACAGCAGCCTGGTCCTTCCCAGCATTGAGCATCGCGTCCGCGTCTCGCAACTTACGAACAATCTGCTCCGGCGTATGCCGCTTACGTCGCTTCGTCGTCATCTCGGTCTCCTCGCTCACATGCGTAAAGACCTTCATAACACCTGGATCAGATTTTCAATAGCAGGTCAACCTCTCTTTCTTGTTCGATTCGCCCATTACCGCAGACATTGGGTTCAAGAAACAAGATCGAGTCGAAGACCTTGCCGCGCTGCGTAGTATCGCCCGGGCGCATGGATATCATTCGATGAGTGATTCTGAAGTTCAGCGCCTATTCACTGAGACACGAGTTGATCGCTTCGGCTGGAGATCATTTTATTCGAGTGCTACCTTTTGTGCCGAGTGACAAGAAGCATGTCCTGGCCTTTGATCTATGTGCCGAGCCACACTTGGCCGATGCGATGCTCGCATATCAGCAGGCCTTATTCTCGATCGAGCCAGCGGGCCAGATTCTCAATTACTGGCGAGTTCTTGAAGCTACATCACGCTCTCCAAATAGACGACAATCTCTCTTGTCAGATTTTCAGAACACCAAATTACAGCCTGTGAGAGCCATTAGTCGGCTAAGTTATGACGACCAGCCCATTAACTTGATTTCTCGCTATAGACGATTTATCAAACCTCACATTTGTAGGCTTGTTTCTATGCATGGTTCACTGGAGGACGTGATGACTTTTCTTTACAAGCACCGTCGCAATCCAAGTGCACACGGCGAACGGAATGTCTTGCGAGTCGGGGGAACCACGTCACTTTCCGGAATATATTGGGATGCAATTCTCCTAAAGCTGCTTGCTCGGTTCTCAATCCAGAGATACTTCGACGAGATAAGTTGATATCAAACAATGTTTTTTTCTAAGCGCCGAAGTGCCTTCCGCTGGTTTTACAGCAAACGTCTGCTTCTCAGGCAATCTACGACTATCAACCGCATGGTGGAATCGGAACGTGCGAACTGTCCTCACCCCTTCCGCTTGACCATCGCTTCCACCCACACGGGAACATACGGCGGGATGCAGCCTTTGGCGGTGGGCCAGTCTTGGTAGAGGCCGATCTTTTTGCCGATGGTGATGGCTCGCTGGCGGTGCTTGGCGTGGTGAATGCCGATGGCGGCCAGGGTGTTATTCATGGTCCACTGCACCTCGGGCTTGGCCTTGGGTAGCTCTTTCTCGATGCGGTCGAGGAGTGCCGGCAGGTCGAGGTCGTCGTCGGCGCCCTGGTTGATGCGGCTGGCGGTGAGGTTCCAGCCGGCGCGGGCGGCCCAGCGGTCTTTCTGCTTCATCCACTTCTCGCGGAGCGAATCTTTCTCGGGATGCTTGGCGACGACGTAAGCGTTCAGCCAGTCGGCCACCTGCGGGCAAGTCGTCGAGCGGGTCATCGCGTCGAGTTCGGTCGTGGAGAGCAACTGGGGTTTGATGATGAGCGTGGCGAGGAGTTGGGCTTCGACGTTGCCGGTGTCCCACAGCTTGAGTGCCAGAGCGTGATCGGTCTTCAGCTTCTTGGCGATGGCGCGGATGTCGCCCAGCTTCACGCCAAACTGGTTGTCGGGCGCGCCGGCCTTGGTGTTGTGCTTCCGCCGGGCGTCGTCGCCGAGAGATTCGAGTTCTGCGAGGATTTGTTTTACGCTCATGGTGGAGATTATACGTTGCACTCGAGGTGGGCCAACTAGCGAACACACTTTTACGCTAGTCGCTTGGCCTCGGGGGTGAAGGTGTGGGTCGGGAAAGAGGGATGGTTGCCTGAGGGGTGGATGGAGCTTTTGTCGCAAGCCCCTTTCAAAGCACTGGCTAGTGCCAGTGGCACCCGTTTTGAAGATCAACTGGAGCTGTCGGGCTGGACCGCGATCGGATCGTAAATTTCGTGTTACGGTTCGTGGTTTGGCCGTGGGGTTCGGGTATTGGTCGATTCGATTGTCACCCCTGCCCCGGGTGGCTAAACTCCTTCTCAGCACTACGAGATAAGGAGATTTCGCATGAGTACTGAGACTGAATGCCCGTTTGTGCATGTGGCTGGTGGTGGGACGACGATTGCAGACTGGTGGCCGCAGCGGTTGAAGTTGGAGTTGTTGAGCCAGCACTCGGCGAAGTCGAACCCGATGGGGGAGGACTTCAATTACGCGGCGGAGTTCAACAGCTTGGACCTGTCCGCGGTGAAGAAGGACCTGGCGGCGGTGATGACCGACTCGCAGGCGTGGTGGCCGGCGGATTTCGGTCACTACGGTCCATTGTTCATCCGCATGGCGTGGCACAGTGCCGGCACGTATCGCACAGGCGATGGTCGCGGCGGGGGCGGGCGCGGGCAGCAGCGTTTTGCGCCGGTGAATAGCTGGCCCGACAATGTGAGTTTGGACAAAGCCCGGCGGTTGCTGTGGCCGGTGAAGCAGAAGTATGGCCGCAAGATTTCCTGGGCCGACTTGATCATTCTCACCGGCAACGTCGCCCTGGAAACGATGGGCTTCAAGACGTTTGGTTTCGGTGGCGGTCGCGAAGATGTGTGGGAGCCCGACCAGGATGTTTATTGGGGTTCGGAAACCACATGGCTGGGCGGCGATGTGCGTTATGCCCAGGGTTCCGAGGGGGTTCCAAAAGGTCAAGATGACGCCGTGCTCTCGGGCGATGACGATGCCGACGGAGAGATGCACACGCGCAACCTGGAGAATCCTTTGGCCGCGGTGCAGATGGGTTTGATTTACGTGAACCCCGAGGGGCCGGATGGGAACCCTGACCCGGTGGCGGCCGTGCAGGACATCCGCGACACGTTCGGCCGGATGGCGATGAACGATGAAGAGACGGTGGCGTTGATCGCCGGCGGGCATACGTTCGGTAAGACGCACGGTGCCGGGGATGCGGCGAACGTGGGCCCCGAGCCCGAGGCAGCTCCGCTGCAAGAGATGGGCCTGGGTTGGAAGAGCAGCTACGGCACGGGTAAAGGGGGCGATGCGATCACCAGCGGATTGGAAGTCATCTGGACCACCACGCCGACCAAGTGGGGCATGGGGTTCTTCGAAAACTTGTTCGGTAACGAATGGGAACTGACGAAGAGCCCCGCCGGTGCTCATCAATGGGTGGCCAAGGGGGCCGAAGCGACGGTGCCCGATCCGTTCGATCCGTCGAAGAAGCGGTTGCCCACGATGTTGACCACCGACTTGGCGCTACGGTTCGACCCGACGTACGAGAAGATTTGTCGGCATTTCATGGCGAACCCCGATGCGTTCGCCGATGCCTTCGCCCGAGCGTGGTTCAAGTTGACCCACCGCGACATGGGCCCACGCTCGCGATACCTCGGCCCCGAGGTTCCGACGGAGGAGCTGATCTGGCAAGACCCGATTCCCGAGGTGGATCATCCGTTGGTCGATGCGGCGGATGTCGCATCGCTAAAGAGCAAGGTGCTTGCCTCGGGGATTCCTGTCTCGCGGTTGGTTTCGACCGCCTGGGCGTCGGCGTCGACGTTCCGAGGGTCGGACAAGCGCGGTGGGGCGAACGGTGCCCGGATTCGCTTCGAGCCGCAAAAGGATTGGGAGGTCAATCAGCCGAAGCACCTGGCGAAAGACCTGAAGACTTTGGAAGGGATTCAAAGCGAGTTCAACCGTTCGGCTGCGGGCGGGAAGAAGATCTCGCTGGCGGACTTGATCGTGCTGGCCGGGTGCGCCGGTGTTGAGCAGGCGGCGAAGAATGCGGGGCACGACGTTACCGTTCCTTTCTCGCCGGGGCGTATGGACGCCTTGCTGGAGCAGACGGATGTGGAGGCCTTCGAAGTGCTGGAACCGGTGGCCGACGGGTTCCGGAATTATCTCAAGGGCAAGTACACCGTTCCGGCCGAAGTGCTGCTGGTGGACAAGGCCCAGTTGCTGACGCTGACCGCGCCTGAGATGACGGTGCTGATCGGTGGCATGCGGGTGCTCAACGCGAACTTCGACGGGTCGCAACATGGTGTGTTTACCGAACGGCCCGAGGCCCTGACGAACGACTTCTTCGTGAACCTGCTCGACATGGGCACCGAGTGGAAGCCGACTTCGCAGGAAGCAGAAACTTTCGAAGGCCGCGATCGCAAGACCGGCGCGTTGAAGTGGACGGCCACGCGGGTGGACCTGGTGTTGGGGTCGAACTCGCAACTGCGGGCCGTGTCTGAAGTGTATGGCTGCGGCGACGCGGGCGGGAAGTTTGTCGAAGACTTCGTTGCGGCCTGGGACAAGGTGATGAACCTCGACCGCTTCGACCTGGCGGTGGCGTAAGCATGTCTGTGGATTATGTGCATGTTGAAACCGTCTGATGGCGTCGCTTTCGCCGAGTGGAGGCTGGCCGCCTTGCTGGCGTTGGTCGCCGGGTATGTCGATTGCTTTGCACTGATCAACCTGGGCGTGTTTTCGTCGTTCATGAGTGGCAACACCACACAAGGCGGCATGTATACGGGCGAAGGGGAGTTTCTGCTGGCAGGGAAGAACCTGTTGCCGATTCCCTGCTTCGTGCTGGGTGTGATGGCCGGGGCGATGCTGTTCGGCGGAGCCAGCCCCCAGACGATTCGCTGGCGGTGCTGGTTCGTGGCTTCGCTGTTGGCACTGAGCGGAGGGATTCATTACCTCGGCCCGCTCGCGCTGTGGGGCAATATCATTACGCTCAGCTTCGCGATGGGCGTGATGAACACCACGATCGAGCACGTCGGGCGGCAATCGGTGAGCCTGGGTTATGTATCGGGCGATTTGAACAACTTGGGCCGGCACCTGGCTTTGGCCATTCGCGGACTTCCGGTGCACGATGCCCAGGGTTCTTGGGATACGGCCTGGAGCCGCACGGGGATATTGGCCTCGGTGTGGAGTTTCTTTCTCATCGGGGCGGTGCTTTCGGCCGCGGGGATGCACTTCTCGGGAAAGTGGATTCTGCTGCCGGCGATCGTGCTGCTATGTGTGCTGGCGTATGGGGATCAGGGGCTTCACGCTAATAGAATGAAACAGCGGCCCGGGTCAAAGGAGTGAATGTTCTCGAGCGGAGGTTGCCTGTTCATTCGAAATCGCTTTCTCTCCACGGGTAAATGATTGTGATATGAATCTCCGTGATGCTGTTCGTCGTTTTGATGGAAAACATATCGAACCACTGGAGGCAGTGGTGGGTGAGCTGCTGACTGACGACGGTGGTGTCGATGCGTTGCTGGTGCTGTCGCACAGCGACGATGTGAAGACACAGACGGCGGCGACTTGGATTTTGAAGCGGCTGTACGAGCACCAAGTTACTTTCACGAAGCCGCAGACGCAGGAGGTGTTGCGTTTGTTGCGCGAGGTGACTTCGTGGGAGGCCAAACTGCATTTGCTACAGATACTCGATGGGTTGGTGATTCCTCCACGGAACGGCAACGGCTTGCGGAGGACGTTGGATCTACACGTGAGCGACGAGAACAAGCTGGTGCGCGCCTGGGCTTACAACGGGCTTTTCGTGCTGGGCAATCAGATCAGTCGCTTCCGAGAAGATGTGGCCGCGCTGCTCGCGCAGGCCGAGGATGATCCCGCGGCTTCGGTCAGGGCCCGGGCGAGGCAGATTCGTAAGGCGTCGCGGTGGGTGAACGACTGCCTGACCAACCGATGAACTTGCTCGGCACGTTGTTGAAGCCGACTTTTAAGTTCTGCGCTCGATGGCTTATGATGCGGAACGAAAGCCAGGGCCTACTCGGCGGCTCTTGGTACCGACTACTCCTTCAACGGATTGGCAGGCGCAAGGATGCTCGAGGCGGTGGAGAGATCGGTTCTTTATGGACTGGCGCTGCTGATCGGAATGATTCTGGGCGGGGTGGCCGCTGCGTGGTGGCGGCCGGGTGTGAGAATTCGAGGGTACATCCAACACTTCTCGGCCGGCGTGGTGTTCGCCGCGGTGGGCGTGGAGGTGCTGCCCGACGTGATGCATCGCGACAGCCCGGTGGCGGCGGCCGTTGGGTTTGCGTTGGGCACCCTGTCGATGCTCATCATCCGCGCGTTGAGTCGTCGGGCGGAAGCGCGTGGGGAAGGCCGCGCGGGAATTCCCTGGGCGATGTTAGCGGCGGTGGCCGTCGATGTTTTCGTCGACGGGATGTTGATCGGCGTCGGGTTTTCCGCCGGTGAGGAGGAAGGCATATTGATCGCGATCGCGATGACCGGGTGCAGTCTATCACTCGGTCTGGCCACTGCGGCCACGTTGATGCAGTCGGGCCAATCCCGGTTGGGTGCCACCGGGTTCACTGCCGGATTGGGAGTGCTTCCCGTAATGGGAGCGGTGGCGGGCGCGATCCTGGCGAGTCAGCTTACGGGGACCTCGATGGAAGCACTACTGGCGTTCACCTGCGCGGCCCTGCTGTACCTGGTGACCGAGGAGTTGCTGGTCGAAGCCCACGAGGACCAGGAAGCCCCTGAGTCTGCCGTAACCACCGGCATGTTCTTCGCCGGGTTCCTGACGTTGATGATGGTGAGTATGACGATGGGACAATGAGAGTCCCTCGTACCTGGACATGGAACCACAAAGCTAAGTGGAAGTGACTCTCGAATGGATCCTTTCGAATTCAATCGTGACGCTTGGGACCGACAGGTTGAAGCCAAGGATCGCTGGACCGTGCCGGTTGGTTCTGCGGAGATTGCTCGGGCTCGTGAGGGCGAGTGGTCGGTGGTGCTTACTCCGTTGCGGGCGGTTCCGCGGGAGTGGTTTCCGGCGGAAATGGATGGCGTGAAGCTCTTGTGTCTTGCATCGGGCGGTGGGCAGCAAGGGCCGCTTCTGGCGGCGGCCGGGGCGGAGGTGACGGTCTTCGATGCCTCTCCAAAGCAACTTGCCCAGGACCGGCTGGTGGCCGAGCGGGAGGGGCTTGCGTTCGACACCCTTGAAGGGGATATGGCCGACCTGAGTGCTTTCTCCGATGCGTCGTTCGACCTGATCTTTCATCCCTGCTCAAATTGTTTCGCTGCGAATGTGCTACCCGTTTGGCGGGAAGCCTTTCGGGTGTTGAAGCCGGGTGGAACAATGCTGGCCGGGTTCTGCAATCCGGTTCGGTTTATCTTCGATGAACGCGCGGAGGACGAACGGCAAGAACTGGTGGTTCGCCACGAGATCCCTTACTCCGATCTGACAAGCCTTTCACCTGCTGAGTTGGAACAAGTGAAAGCGACGCGGCCGCTGGAATTTGGCCACTCACTGGAGGACCAACTCGGTGGTCAGCTTCAGGCCGGCTTCATGCTGCTCGAGTTGTTCGAGGACCGCTTTGAAGCGAGCGATTTGATTTCGCGTTATCTAAACACGTTTATCGCCACGCGGGCACAGAAACCGCGCGATGCGTGATAGCCTGATGTTTCTTCGCTGATGGTGGCCTGAACTGCTCCCTCGAAAGAGACAGCATCGTTACTTATCCCACATCGGCGGATAGCACAGTGGGGGCCAACTGTCGTCGGCGCGATGTTCGATGACGAGTTCTAGGGTGATGGGCATGATTGCTTCGAGGAGTTGACGGCAACGTGTGAGGGCTTCACGGTTGAGTTGGCTACCGCGGGTGGCGGCGCCGTGGGCGATTTGTCCGCGGAGCACATAGACGCGTTCGATCACGTAGTCGAGTATCACGGCCCAGCGGCCCTCGAAGTACAGCGATTGGGCTTTGTGATATCGGGCCCTGGTATTGCCGGGCCGTTGGGGGTTCTTCCAAAACCGGGGGTCGAGGTATTTGTTCTCGAGCAGCCACAGCACATCGTCGCGGTGGTCCTGAAGAAGACTGGGGATCTTGTCGTGCTGATCGATGGCAATCGCGGAATCGAGAAAGGCCTTCCAAGAGGCGGTGTCTTTGGCTGGAAAGCCCTCTTCGCGTTCCCAGGAACCGTACAGTGAGTTGAAGGCGATCCAGCAATACAACAGCCGCCCGTCGGGTTGCTGGTCTTCGTCGAGTTCGATGGCCCTTTCGAACCAACTCAACGCTCGATGAACGCGGATTTGGAAGTTCTGGAACTGGCCCTCGGTTCGTTCGCACTGCTCGCGGAACCGCTGGCGTAGCTCGGCGATGGTTGCTGTGGCCATGGCGTGGGTCGATGGTTGGTCGTGGAAGGCTGCCGGAAGCGTCGCATGCAGCACAAGTTTTAAGTGACAGCAGTGCCGACGTACATGGCGATGTTTCGCGAGCTTCAAACAGACGGGGTGGGCGTTCAGGCCAGTAGCTCTGCGATGTGTCGGGCAATGGCTCGAGAGAATTTGAGAAAATCGTGTAACGCCGTAACCTTTCTTGCGCTTCGAGTGTCACGCTTCCCATAGGAGGCAACTTGAGAAGGTGCGCTAATCCCAGTGGACATAAGCCATTGCTGGAACAGGACCTCGGATTTATCGGGCTTTCGGTTCAATCGCGCGGGCGAGTTGCTATCCTAGGTGGAGATTACGAGGTGAGTTTGCGGTGCGTTGGTTACTGGAAGGGGAGATGTGATGCGGAAACACGTTGCGGTTGGATTGTCGCTGGCGGTGATTGCCTCGCTCGCCTTGGGCTCGTGGGCTTTTGAGTCGCAGGCCGAAGAGGCGGAGCAGCCCTATTACGATTTGGGGGGCTTTCATTACGAGGTCACCACCGACTCGGACGAGGCGCAGCAGTGGTTCGATCGAGGGCTGGCCATGTGTCACGGCTTCAATCACGAGGAGGCCGTGCGTTGCTTTGAGAAGGCGCTGGCCGCCGATCCGGGGATGGCGATGGGGCTGTGGGGAATGGCCTACGCCTGGGGACCCAACATCAACAACATGGAGATCGAGCCAACGCAAATCGCCAAGGCCGAACTGGCTCTGCAACTCGCCAGATTGAATACGGCCGACTGCACCGAGCTGGAACGCCAACTGATCGACGCGTTGGCCACCCGATATGCTACGCCGGTTCCGGAAGATCGAGAACCGCTCAATAAGGCCTATTCCGATGCGCTGCGTGAGTTGCATAAAGAACACGCCGACGATCCGCTGGTGGTCACGCTGTTTGCTGAATCGTTGATGAACCTACAGCCGTGGCTGCACTGGAGCCCCGAAGGTGAGCCGGGCCCGATGACGCCGGAGATTGTGGAGGTGCTCGAAGGGGGGCTAACGAAGTGGCCCGACTATCCGGCGTTGTGTCATTTCTATATCCACGCGATGGAAGCCTCGCCTACGCCGGAGAAAGCTTTGCCAGCCGCGAATCGACTCCGCACTTCAATGCCGGGCCAGGGGCACCTGGTGCACATGCCGACGCATATCGATATCTGGACGGGCGACTACGCAAAGGTGGTCGACTCGAACCAGAAAGCGATTGTGGCCGACGCCGAGTTCCTGAAGCGTGAGGGCCCTGCGAATTTCTACTCACTGTATCGCATCCACAACTATCACTTCCTGGTGTACGGCGCGATGTTCGACGGCCAAAGCGGCGTCGCGCTGGAAGCAGCGCGGGCAATCAAGCAGCAAGTTCCCGAGCCGATGCTCAAGGAAATGACCGATTTCCTCGATGCGTTCATGCCGACCGACTTGCACGTGCTGGTGCGTTTTGGGCGATGGGACGACATTCTGAATGAGCCCCTGCCGGCTGAGTACCTGCCGGTTTCGCGTTCCATCTGGCATTACGCCCGGGCGTTGGCCTATGCCTCGACGAATCGCGTTCCGGAAGCCGAAATCGAGCAGCAGGCATTCCTCGAGGCGATGCAGGCGGTGCCCGAGACGAGTTTCCTGTTCCAGAACCCCTCGATCAATATCCTGGCGGTAGCGAAGGAAATGGTGGCCGGCGAGATTGCTTATCGCAAAGGGGAATACGACAAGGCATTCGCTCATCTGCAAGAAGCGGTTCGTTTGGACGACGCCCTGAACTACGACGAACCGTGGGGTTGGATGCAGCCGGCTCGACACGCATTGGGGGCGTTGCTGCTGGAGCAAGGCCACGACTCGCAGGCCGAAGCGGTGTATCGGGCCGATTTGAAGCGGCACCCGAACAACCCCTGGGCACTGCACGGCTTGGCCGAAAGCCTGGCAAAGCAGGGCAAGGTCGACGAATCGGCGAAGTACCGCAAAGAGTTTGCTTCAGCCTGCGAACGCAGCGATGTGACGATCGATCGCTCGTGTTATTGTAAGCTGAAGGGCGGGAAGTGATCTCTGCCGCGTACGACCTGATTCTGTTCTGAAAAGGCGCCCATGCATTCATCTGCCAACGCATCGGATTCTCCAGAGCAACAACCTGAAAAACCAACGACCGAGCGCGAGGTGCGTTTCGAGTATTCGAAGTCGCTGGTTCCGGTGTTGGAAAAGCTGGGGGCGACTCTGATCGTTTCCACTTACCAGGCTGGCAAGCTGGTGGTGGTTGGGGTGCGGCAGGGGAAGCTGGAACTTTCGTTCCACAACTTCGACCGCGTGATGGGCGTGGCCGTGGGAGCCGATCGAATTGCGGTTGGCGTCCGCGAACAGTTGTGGATGTTGATCAATGCCCCGGAGATTGCTCCGCAACTCGAACCGCGGGGCGAGTTCGACGCATGTTTCCTCGCGCGGCAGTCGCTATTCACCGGCGAGATTCAAGTTCACGATTTGGCCTGGGGCAAGCAAGGGCTGTACGTGGTGAACACGCTGTTCTCCTGCGTGTGTCAGCCGCACGACCGGTTCAGTTTTGTTCCGATTTGGAAGCCGCCGTTTGTGTCGGCGTTGGCCAGCGAAGATCGCTGTCATCTGAATGGCATTGCTATGCACGAAGGTGAGATGCGGTATGCCACCGTGTTGGGGCAAACCGACGAACCGCAAGGTTGGCGGGAGAACAAAGCCGAAGGTGGCTGCTTGCTGGAAGTACCCAGCGGTCGCGTGGTGGCCCAAGGGTTGTGCATGCCACACTCGCCGCGGTTGCATGCGGGCCGGTTGTGGTTGTTGAACTCGGGGGTGGGCACGCTGGTTGAAGTGCAGCCAGAGTCGGGGAACACCGCGGTGGTGGCGACCTTGCCGGGTTATACGCGCGGGATGGCTTGCTTGGGTCCGGTGGCGGCCATTGGGCTTTCGAAAATTCGCGAGACGAGCACCTTTGGCGGAGTACCAATCGCCGAAGATCGCGATTCGCTCCGCTGCGGCGTAGCCCTGGTTGAATTGGGCAGCGGAAAGACGCTTGCCACGCTCGAGTTCACCGACGGCGTCGAAGAAATCTTCGATGTGCAATGGATGCCAGGAATTCGCTGCCCATCAGTTTCCGGCCCTCACGCCACGGCCGAAGGTGGCAAGACCATCTGGTCAGTTCCACAGCCGGGACGAGGTTAGTCGCCTCTCACCTCTACTTCTTGCGCTTTCGCTTCGCCTTTCGATTGGCTTCAGGCAGGGGGCCGGCCATGGGGGGTGTTTCGAAGAACTTACCGTCGTCGACTAAGCGGGGGTCGTTGCTTTGTTCGAGTTCGGTCATGAGTTGCTCGCGCAGCTCGGCTAGCACGCTGGCGTATTGAGGGTCGTCGGCCACATTGTTCATTTGGTGAGGGTCTTGCTTCAGGTCGAAGAGTTCCTCGCGCGGACGGCGGCCATAGGCGTGGTCGAAATATGGTTTCCAATCGGGGTCGTTGCGGTGATCGACCAGCCAGGCTTTGGTGGGGCCGGCGTCTTCGTCGGGAATGGTGGCGAATGTGTTTTCCGTCACCTCTTGCGTAATCGGGGGATCGTCGCCGTCGAGGCGGTAGTGATCACCCAGCGGATAACGCTCGGGATGGAAGTTGATCACCAGGGCATAGTCGGCCGTGCGGATGGCACGTTGTGGGTACGGTAAGAAATCTTCGCGGGCGCCGGCCACGTGACGTTCGCGACCGGTGAATACTTGCGTACGGTGCGAATCGACGAGGCCTTCTTTCGTGGATTCGAGCACCGGCCATAAGCTGTGGGCGGTCATCACTTCGGGCACCGCGACGCCTCCGGCTTCCAAGAACGTGGGAGCCAGGTCGGGCAGGCTTACGAAGTCGTCGACGACCCGGCCACCTTTGACATTGGGGCCAGAGATCGCCAGCGCGACTTGGGTGCCGAAGTCGTAAAGGTTGCACTTACCGTGCGGGAAGCCGGGCGGTCCATGATCGCCGCTGACCGCGATGAGCGTGTTCTCTAGTTGGCCAGACTTCTCGAGTTCATCGAGCAAGCCCCCCAACGCGGCGTCGAAGGCTTGAATCTCGCCGAGATAGTCGGCCATGTCTTCGCGAACCGTGGGAACGTCGGGCAGAAACGGTGGCAATAAACCTTTCAGCGAATCGGGCGAGATACCCCACAGGGCCTGGCCCGATCCTTTGATCCATTTGCGATGAACGTTGGTGGGACCAAACCAATAGCAGAACGGTTGGCCTTTTTCCCCGTCGGCCAGAAACTCGCTGAAGTTCTGTCGCACATCGCCCAACAGTTGTGCCTTGGCTTGTTCAACTGTGCTTCCATCGTCGACCAGCTTGGTGGCGGTTTGCGAGAACCCGTTGAAACGATTTCCGGCGCTCTGATACGCGTGGGCTTGTCCACCATAAGGGGCGTCGGCCGGAGAGCCGGGGCTCCACACCTTCCAGGTCTTACCAAGGTGATAGTTCGCGTCTTCTTCGAGCAGCAGCGGCCAGGCTGGGATGCTCATGTCCCACTGGGCCCCTTGCAATATGGCTGCCCGACCTGTGCGCCAGAAGTACTGACCTGAGAGCAGCGAGCTACGGCACGGGGTGCAGGAAGGGGCGTTCACATAGGCGTTGTTGAACAACACCCCGGCTTTCGCCACGCGATCGAAGTTGGGCGTGCTGACGACGTCGTTCAAGCTGGGCGCGTTGGCCACACTATAGGCACTGGCCAGGCGACCCCAATCGTCGGCAAAGGCGAACAGGATGTTGGGTCGCTTTTCGTTCTCCGTAGCTCGGCATTCTTTCGTCGCCAGCGGTTGAAGTGTGATGAGTGCAACGAGACAGCAGAGGAAAAGAAGTCGAAGGCGTGCAGTCATGGTGGTGTTCTTGATGCTAGCGGGGGCGGGTGACTATGGTGGCGGGCCTCAATGAATTCTCCATTCTAGCACGATGAATCGGCGACATGACAATCGAACGCTAGGATCTTGATTCGACGGGTTAGGCCGGGTGCAGAACGTACGAAAGTGCAGCGGAATGCGGGTTTTTTCGCCGGAAGTCCGTCTGGCATCGGGCCTGACCATATGTTCTCATAATGAGGTCGGTCGCAACCGTTCCCGCGTGGTTCTGTTGATAAACGTTCAGCTTGTTGACGTGCACTGAATTCGGACCACCTACAGTTTCACATCACGAGAGAGGCATAAACGGATGTTGGGCAACTCGACGATTGGACGAGGCGGGAGTTTGCGAAACGGCAATCGAGTTCGTGGCTATGGCGCGGCCTGTGCACAGCCGGAGTTCCTGGAGCCACGCCTGCAGTTGGCCTCAACGCTGGCCGTGTTTAACAGCGCCGTTTCGTTCGGCGTCACCTACGGCGGGGAAGAGATCGATCGCATCGACAATTTGGCCGTTACCGGCACCATCGAGGCCGACCTTCAAGTCGACGGAGCAGGCAACGGAACCATTGCGTTTCAAGGCACCAATGCGGCCCTGGCCAGCGGGGTGTTTTCAATCGACTTTGGTTTGTTTGGCACTGCAAACCTAACGCTGCAGGCGGTCACGCTCGACCTGACCAGCAGCGCGATCGCAACGGCCAATCACACGTTTGGCTTTGACGGAACCGACGCGGAACTCACCTTCGATGGCGGTATGGTCAACGTGGTGGGCAGTTCGGGGGCGTTGGCCAGCGTGCTCCCACCACCAGGTGAAACCATCAACTTCAACACCGATCCGACGTCGGTGAGCTTAAGCGGCTACGGAGTTACCGGTACGGCGTTTGGCAACCCGCCTAGCGTAACGATTCCGTTGAACGCGATTGCGATTCCGCTGGACGATGTGCTCTCTGGATTGGGCGTTGTGGTCAGCGGTACGATTCAGGCACAGGGCACAGCGCCGGCTGCCGATTCGATAGGGGTCTACAACCCCGCCACGGCAACGTCATTTTTACGCAACTCGAACAGTTCCGGCGTCGCAGATGTTCCGCCGTTCAACTACGGCATTCCGAATTGGGTGCCCATCAGTGGCGACTGGAACGGTGACGGAATCGACACCATCTCGGTCTACAACCCGAGCACGGCGACGTTTTTTCTCCGTAACTCGAACACATCCGGTAATGCCGACGTGACGTTTAACTACGGCATCCCGGGTTGGGTGCCGGTGGCGGGCGACTGGGATAACGACGGGACCGACACCATTGGTGTCTACAACCCGTCGACTGCGACCTTCTTCCTGCGTAACAGCAACGACTCTGGCGTGGCCGACGCGACCTTCAACTACGGGCTGCCGAATTGGACGCCCCTGGCCGGCGATTGGAATGGTGACGGGACCGACACCGTCGGGGTGTTTAACGCAGCCACGGCGACGTTCTTTCTGCGAAACGCCAACAGCTCGGGACCGGCCGACATCCCGGGCTTCAACTTTGGTGGGGCTGGCTGGACTCCGCTGGCTGGCGATTGGAACGGCGACGGTGTGGACACGATTGGCGTGGTGAACCCCGCGAATGCGACGTTCTATCTGCGGAATGTGAATTTGGCCGGTGTGCCGGACATCACGCCATTTCAATATGGCCTTCCCGGCTGGGTGCCACTGGCGGGGAACTGGGACGGGGCAACGTCGCTGCAAGGCCTGTCGGACGTCGCTGTGGAAACGATTGAGTTTGGTGTTCCACTCGCCGAAATATCATCGCGGACGACCTCTGGGAGTGCGGAAGCATCGACGCCTCTAAAACCTTCGGCCGTGCAGTCGGCGGTGTTAACCACAGCCGCTGAGCCCACCGCCATCAGTGGGTATTCTGGCGACGTGCGGGCAGAAGCACTTCGTACGATGCAGTTAGAATCCACAAGTCTTGCGAAGGGCCAAAGCAAGCAGAGCGGCGAGTCGGTTCTGGACGGCGGACTCTTGGACTTACTGCTGTGAGCAATACGCTAGGCAATAGGCTTTAGTCGGAATCGCCTACCGCGCTGATCTTCACGCTCGCCGTTCTCGCGTCGGACGGGGTACGCGTGAGGTGTTCAACGTTAAATCGCTTGTCGGGATGGAACCACTTGGTGAACCGCTGGGCGG